CATATACCTTGCACGAGGACGAACGAATCCTCGCCTTTGAGACTCGAACACGAACGGTCGACAAACAGCACCATAGCACCATTGTCAATGGCATGGGAGAACAAACACCAGGAAAGTTAGTGAAAGACTTGCAATACCCGAGCAGGAACTGCAAGACTGCCAGTGGGTATCAGGACGTTATTTTGGCGGGGTGTCATCTAATTTTCTCATACAGTAACTCCCTCTGTTTCAATAATGCTGACTTTGTACCAGTGTACATGCATGTAGAATCTAGCTTTTTCAATTCTAAAATTAGTACAGTTTCATTTCAAATTGAGTCCCACAAAATGGCCACAGGGGCGCAGCGCCGGCGCAGCGCCGGCGCAGCACCCCTTTTGTGGGACTCAATTTGAAATGACACTGTCATAATTTTGGAATTGAGAAATCTAACTCAGTCTTGACAAGACTCACCTGAGTCAAGAGTAAGGTACCTACCCCTAATCAACAGCTACGGTACCAATCATGCTTGGTTGACTTGAATTTGGGTGCCCATTGAACATCTCAACTAGCTATACTAAACAGTGCTTTTCAGGCGATAATTTTATTTTATGTATTTGGCGGTGACCAAAGGTGCTCTGTCTGTGCCTTCGCTGTTGTGAAAAAGTGCGCTTGGTTTCTTATTACTTATTGCTCGATTCCTACTGGAGCCAGGAGGATCTTGGAGAAAATTTCACAAATAAGCTTAAATAGTCTTTGAATAGTGTACCGGACTTATGAGAATCATCCTTCAAATAAATAGAATTGAAATGAGTTATTAAAAAGGGAATTTCGGGAGCTGTGGGAAACATACCGGTACGTACCAGTCTGGTACATGGTACATATACTCGTACCAGTACTGAGTACTGGAGTACAGAGCACACTCGTACACTCCAAGTCATTAGAAAGCACAGTAGTCTACGTACGTAAAGCTGCTTGGTCTTGGCACTGTCTTGGCTGGATGGACCACAGGAGAGCAAGTTTCCACCTTACTAACGCCTGATCCAAAGTACAGGCCTAGGTACGTCAAAAGCTTTCTATGTCCTCTACTAGCTAGAGCTATAATAAGTGCTAAGAACGAAGCTGGTGTACGGTAGTAGGCGTATGCTCCGTGGGCTCCTCCTCGGAAATCCGGAGAGGAAGGGCCTTTGAAGCGTTGAACTAACTTTGAAGCTATGCATTAGTCCTCTGTGTCTTGAGAGTCGAGTCACACCGGTCCTGGAGCCAGATTTGCTTTTCATGAAGCTGGGGGGGGGACCACTTTTTATTTATCACAACATGCACCGATACTACAATGAACACTGGGTAGTATTTTTGAAGGACTGACTGATTTAATCACCACACCCTTCTTGTTTGTCTTTTGGTACAATGCACGGTGGGTATTAGGCTCCGTACTTGTGTAGAGTGAGCAATTAAAAGGTTTTTTTAAAAAGTAAAAAAGTAGCTTTGGAGATAGAGTTAGAGCGTTAGAGCCGCGGAGACATCGGTTGTCTAGCTAGACGGGTGGTTTTACAGCTTTAACAGATAAGATTGCAGAAAGGAACCATTTGTTCTTTTGTCCATTCTGCTGATTTAACATGAAGATGCCATTTCGAAAGTATTTACAAATTAGCCTTCTTTCGAAGGAGTACTGAATTGTCCATTGCACGATTGCACGCTTCCGAGGCACTCAAGTTCCGTTGAAGGAAAGTAAATTCCCCAACTCCTCCAAACAACTGTGTCTGGGACTGATTAGTCCTGAGCCTGACTGAATCAGCCATGAGTGAGAATTTTGTACCAGACTACCTGAGTCCCTATCATGCCAGTATCCTGCCCCAATAAATAAATCCCTTTCCTTACTCGGATTCCTTCCAAGTTTAAAAGGATTTAACAAGGCGTTTGGGGAGTCGGAGAATTGCTCGAACCAATGTCTGACTAAGACTGTCTATGCTAAACACACCTTCTTCAACCCTTGCGCATACCGTTCAGCAACCGTAAACCAGCTCGTAAACCTATCCGGATACTAGTACATGTACTGGCTCTCTGAATACACGTAATGTAGTACTAGTAGCTATTGAGGGCCAGCTATTGGGTCATAGCAAAAAGTGCATGGCGCGGGAAGCATCCAGAGCTACTACTAGAGAGTGCTACATATTTTTCCCCTTCTTCTCTGAAACCGTTGTCAGCAAGCAAGCAAGCAAGCAAACAAACAAACATCCACCACCATGAACAATCTGAACATCATTACGCAACTCAACCAAAGCCTGGTGTCGTACATGACAACTGGCGACCACCCACGTGCATGTATTGCAGTAAAGGCTCTTCTCAGTCAGACCAGGGCTCTCATTAATTTTCTGAATGCACTTGGTCCTGAGCTTGAGAACCTGGTCACTCATCATGGCCCTGCACCCTCCCGTTTCAACTTGGCCTTCGTTTCCACTTTTCCTGAAACCACAGACACTTCTGATTTTGGCTTGGACTCTGGCGTTCTGACTCTGCTTGACAAGATGGTGCTCTTTCTTCCACAGACTAGTGCACTTGACCAGAACATTGATGATGTGATCATGATTCTAGCACCTCAAGTTCATGCTCATTTCGAATTGCTGGTGCCTGTCTTGTATAATGCTGGCTTCTTTTTCCATCAGCAAGGCATTTGCACTGGACGGTCAAGCCTTTTCCTCAAAGGCATCAAGTACTACCACACGGCCTTGAACTTTTTGGACTTCTTCTTTGATCCTACTGATGCTGGGGACTTGGTCATGCGTTGTGCCCTGTTCAACAACCTCGGGCATGCAAGTTCAGTTGTGGCTCATTTCCAAGACGCTGACTTGTGCCTCAAGGAGTTGAAGAAGGCACCTATGGAACCCTCACCCGGGTCACTTGGTAGGGTGGCGGGATGGACTGACCAGGAACTCGAAGACTTTTTCAACTATTTCGTCTCTGTTGGTTCCATTGGAAGCTATGGCTTCTCTCCTGCAGCCTAACCGCTGCATAGCCAACGATCGATGTGATCCTTGGATGAACAGCTACATGTTATGTTCCGTACCGGTACATCGAGAGTGGTGGACAAGAGAGCAAACACTCACCAGATAATCGGACTCGACTCGACTCGACTCGACTCGAGTGTCCTTCCAAGCAATCATTGACTTTATCCACTGACCAATTTCCATGCACACAGTGGTCTCACTGGCACATACATCATCCTCTTGCTTCAGTGAACACGGGAGGGAACACCTACTGATACATAATGCCACTATAATCATATACATACCACTTAATTAAGCTGCCTGCTTGATCCATGTCAAACTCGGAGCTAGTACGAACATACATTCTGCTGGACACTCTGGTAAAGCGTTGCCTTCTGCAACTTTCGAAGGGCGGCGGTGCAACGAACGAGTTTTGCAAGGCTCGACTCTTACTGCGGCCAGGCGCACAGGTGGGCACAATCGTTGGCTTCAAAGAAAAGCGTTGCGGTCGACGAGGGAATGATTGGATCCAACGACGTAATCTTGATGGTCAAATCAGGGAGGGAGACTCGGCCTGTCCCCTGTACCGGTACCTATACATGAGCAACTTGCTTTTGGCACGAATTGCTTTTGAGAATCTTGATGGTCAAATCATGGGGACTTGGCCCATCCCTCCACGTGTACATGAGCGACGTTTGACATGCTGTGGTGGGCACCGCATTCGGCATGTGGCTGGCACAATGCGACCCGATATGCACGTCTTGTGGCGGGCCGTCGACACAAGTAGCTCCAACGTGAAGCGAACTTGGTTCGCCAGCATGCCTAGAGACAGTGCAAGCAAACCAAGAATCTCCAAAGCCGTGCGAGATTAGTCGAGTGACAGTCGAATCGAGTCCATCCAGCAACTCTAGCCGTACATGCCTACGGAAAGCAGAAGCAAGAAAAAGAATCGAATGTGCTGCACCAAAAAGTCGAGTTTGAGAATTGCTCTATTGAAGAAACTTTGTCTCTTTGTCCTGTGACAGACTGGGGAACGAGTGATCTTGCGCCTCTGGGCTTGGCTGGAGGTTTGTTGGGGGGACGCAGACGGGAGGGAGATTGGTGGCAGCAGCGGCAGGGCAAAAAGGGACTCCTTGTTTTGGCAACTGAAGCTTAGGGAACTCGGGAAAATGAAAGGAAGCAATGGTTCCAGTACAGTGTAGCTACCAGATGCCATACCTTGCTTGTAGGTACCTGGTAGTCAAATGAGTTTCACACTGGCTGCCAAGGCCCTCCTAATGGAAACAGAAGCTGATACTCAGAAAGACGTCAGATTGGAGACTAGCGGTAGCCACACGCCTCATGCCACCGACTAATCCAACCACCTTGGACCTCGAACGAAGACAATCTTGAGAGCACTGCATCGAGTACCAATGGGATCCCAGCCGCTGCAATGGCTGTCTCACACAACTATGTACCGGTACTGGCTGCATGCAATCTCATTCCGCCAACCATAAACGTGGTAGAAGCTCAGGCTCAAGTTGCATTACAAAAAAAAAAAATAGGTCGCCAACTGCGTCCAGAAAGAAACTCTTGGATCGTCAAGGATACAGCAGGCTCTTCATGTCATAGCTTGCCATGCATGGCTTTTGAAAAAGAACCTTGCCACTCCCCACGAACATCAGATCAACAATTTGTTCTTTTCTTCCCTTTTAAGACTGAACTCGAATTTAAGGTTTACTTACACCTCATCTGCATTCAGCCTCATCCCCCAACCACATTTACAACAATGTAGCAGCCCGGTGGTAAGTACAGTAGCTCGTAAACGAGTTTTGTGAAAGCACTTCGGCAATCGAACTGGACCGACTGGAAGGCTGCAGGTTTCGGGTTGAATTCGGTTTATTCTATCAAAGTCGCGGTAGTCGCGAAAGTCGTGAAAGTCGCGCACCACGACTATAGAACGACTATAAAAGTCGCGAAAGTCGCACACCGCGACTATAGAACGACTATAAAAGTCGTGATAGTCGCGCACCGCGACTTAAGCACGACTTCTCCGTGTTATTTACTAGTAATGCACCGCGACTTTAGAACGACTATAAAAGTCGCGATAGTCGCGGTGCGCGACTTTAGGACGACTAAGAAAGTCGCGATAGTCGCGCACCGCGACTTAACAACGACTATTCACCAGGAATAGCGACTACCGCGACTTTCAAGAGTTTTGCATGTGGATCCTCGCTGAAACCTGGTGCCTTCCTGGAGAGCTGCTCGGCTTCCTTATTCCGGTACCATACCACTCCGTACCAGCAAGTGCACCAGTAAGGTCCAGTACCGATCACAGTTGGGTTCACCATTCTCCAAGAACGCTAGAGTGGTCATTTCAAATAGAAAGACTTAAAATTGTGAACAAACCTTTTACAGCTGCTTTTAGTTGCAAGCAATTCTGTTTTCCGAAGTTTTGACATCATGATTACTTACCAAGTCTTCTCAAGATCGACCGCAGCACCGCAACGAGCTGCAAGCGCTAGCCAGCGAGACTTATCATAATTCTGGGTTCTTGGATTCTGCACAGAAAGATATAACATCAGTGTGCTCCTCATAGCGGAAGGCTGCAACTCATGTTCTGCTTCATGATGCCCCAGTGCAGTGGCTACTGACATTATTATTTAAAAACAGTGTAGTCTAGTTCCAGCTAGGTTTTAGAGCTGTTTTAGCTACTAGTACCAGCACCACCAAAGATGAGTAGCGTAGTTTTGAAGCCACCCAGATCGCCCCAGGCAGCACCTTGAAGCATCCTAAAGCTTGTCCCGCATCCAGGCATCCAGCTACCAGGTAGCCAACCTCTAGCTAGCTAGCTAGATAGATAAGCTCTGGCTACATGTAGCTACTATCAGGTACTTGTGTCACTGGGCTCTCGCTCCTCCCTTTGTTCCAATGACTTCCAATGGTACCAGTAGTAGCCAAGCCATAACAATCCGAAGCAGGCAGTGAAAGCACAACTTCTTTTCCCAGGAGAATCACAATCTCCGTCTTGCCCTCACAATCTCGCCTTCTTTACAAGCAGCCCAGCCAACACCATATCACTAAAAGCTTGCTAGACTCGGCTCGGAAACAAACCACCACGATGATGGCAGACTTTGATATCAACGAAATAATTGCCTTCAACACCAACGCGGCTTGTCTCATGGTCCAGGGAGACGAAAACAAAGCCCAGCAGGCTTTGAGGGAAACGCTTGATGCCCTCGTGGGCTTGCTGGGATCGCTGCAGGAAGAAGCCAACGAGATGGATTTGGAGGAGATGATGATGATGGCTGTGGACGATGAAGCATCGCACCAACAAACTCTTCGTTTCCTCTCAGTCCAACAGCTGCAAAAGCATGGCGAGGAGGACAGTCCATCCCGTACCCCGCAAGGAGGTGTCTTGGAGTTGTTCCGCAAGGTCGTCCATGTGCATTGCCCCACTCCCCCTGTGGAGGCTGAAGGGATTCCCTGGAATTCCCAGATTGAGCTGGCCGTATCGGTTTTGTACAACGCCGGGCTATTCTTCCACATGAAGGCAGTCAACATCGGCAAGGAAGTGTTCCTTCAGAAGAGTATCAAGTACTACACCGTGGCCTACGAGATGATAACTTTGTGGAGGTATCACGAGAGTGACATGAACCTGTTGCTGGCTATTGCAATCCTCAATAACCTTGCGCACGCTCATTTCATGCTTGGCAACATGTCGCATTCGTTTGAGATCTTTCAAGAAGTGAAGAACGTCTTCCTGGTAGCCATGACCTCACCTAACGCACAAGTCCAGGCTTGGGATGCGGATGTCGTGGATTTTGCCATCTTGACTCTCTCCGTTGCTTCCCCCAACAGTTTTGCCATTGCTTCTGCCGCTTGAACAAGCAAGAAGAAAGCCGTGCAGCACGGTGCACACACTGCCATAACTTGAAGACCAGCAGTCTGAACCACCAATTGATTCCGTATTCCGTACATCCATCCATCCATGTCAAGCTAACCAAAAGCAACAGCCAAGTCAGCCAAGAGTGCAAGTCGCTCCCTGAGTTGGTTTCGCTTCTGCATTCTTCATATGCTGGCTATCTCGCTACAAGCAATACATATATAGGAAAAGAAAGATACTTGCTTGCGGTACTAGTAATATCAATTCATAACGTTGTACGTTGTACATAAGATCAATGATAAAAGCTACCAAACCAACTTGGTTTTTAAAACTATCTATCAGTAGGAGCGAGTGAGGATGGCATGAACGAGCGAGGAGCGGTTCGAAGCAAGCAAGAAGCCCAAACAACACTTACATATATTACAAGTGTAGAGATGTAGAGATGTAGAGATGCAGAGTGCAGAGACCAGATTGATCATTCCGTTCTGCCTGCCTCTGCCTGTACGGCAACAGCAGCCCGCCCAAACCAAAATGAAGCATTGAACCAATGCTGGGCGTCGAGCCGAGATGAGCTCCAAGATGCTTCGACCCACCTGGATCACTGGATCATTGGTTTCATTCCACTCGTGATTGATTTGTGGCAGTTTATTCACGTGAGCAGTGTCGACGAGGAACAGTGGTACCGGTGGATTGTTGTCGTCGCGTTCATTTCCCCACCTTCTTTCGCAGTTCGCGCCCTTCACTAGATTCCTCGCTCACATGCAGGACCTTGCAAATCCCGGTGGCTAGCTAGCTAGACTGCTGGTGGATATTAGAACAGTAGAAATAGCAGGTGTGCAACTTGGTGGACAATTAATGGTGGCTTCCCAATTACTTATCATCAGTAGCAGAGAGATGTGGAATGTTTGTCGATCCACTCGACTAGACAAGCTACTAGTAGTTAGATAGACAACAATCTCAACAGCAACCTCTGGCTACCGTAGCTTCCTGACTGACACCTTAGAGCACACCGCAACTGGCGAACCTGCAAGAGCGGCTTGGTGGCGACAGTGGCAACTACAATAACCCGGGGCTACTGGCTAGCTAGATACTATTAGTGTTGCGCCGCAACATCCATGTTCGTACCGCACGGTACTGCTAAGCCCACGTGGCGTACGAAAACGCAACAAGAGCCCGTTGGATCAACGTCTGATCATCTTCTTACCAATCAAATTTCTTACAGTCTAAGACTCCTCCGAATCGAGGTGTCTCGGGGCTGTTGTTTCTTTCAGAGGCATCTGAAAATTTGATTTACGCCTAATGCCAGTGGTCTTAGAATGCTTAAGCGCCAAGACATTCTGTAGAAGCATCTCTTTGTATCTTAATGTCGCATCTGCCTTTCTGCGATGGTTATTTAATTCTTCAAGATTCACCTCCAAGATCCAGTCATGTAGGAGATTTAGAGGAAAGCTTCCTTTATCTTGAGACAGTGAGAAGTGTGAATTGACCCTCTCTTGCTCACATTTTGGAATTTTGCTTGGCTTGGAGCGAAACACAAACCAACAATCGCAACAACAGAAAATTGACTTTAGAGTACTTTCAGAAAAAGCAATGAGACAATGAACCACGAACTCCCGCCTCGACCGCAATCTCATTCTCAATCTGCGAAGAACGGCTTTGGCCTGAGCAAACTGAAGAAGAAACCTACCGCCAGTTTGGAAGATCACTTCCAGAAGAAGAAGAAGCGCTTTGCTACTAGTAGTAATAAGGCTACTGCTAGTAATGGTGCTAGTAACAAGAGCGTGACTGACAGAAGCCTCAGTCATCAGTCAGCAAACAGCGGCATTTTCCACGAAGAGCAAGAAGATGAATATGACAATGCCAGTAACTACGATTTCAGCGTTGTCATGGGCTCCACCACGGGTAACCCCAACCCTAACACTGAGGATTTGGAGGACTCTCAATCCTGCCAGCTGAGCTATCTAGAAGACTCTTTCACTTCTCTGCCTCAATCAGAAGAACAAGTGCAACCAGAGGAAGCTACTGCAAAAGCAACAACTAACAATGCTAGGCATAGTATGGAGGAGCTGCTACATGTAGCTATGGATCAGAACAGGGAAGACACTCAGGACTCAACCTATCATGAGTCCAGTCCAGAATCATACAGGATTCAAAACAATGCTGACAACCATAACAGCTCCAACCTAGAATGCATTCAAGAAGCTACTAGCAAGTCATCCAACAGCAACAGTGACAACAACAGTGACAGCTCTTCAAGTAGCAGCTCTAGTAGTAGTAGTAGCAGTAGCAGCAGCAGCACTACCAGCAGCAGTGCCTCCAAACAACAAACCAATGCACTGGGAGCTGAAAGCAGTCAAGAAACCCCCACCACCAAAAATGGCAACATTCAGTATGATGATGTTCATCTTCCAAATACAAACAGTCAAGAAGATGATGATGATGCAGCAGCAGATGTAGCAGAACCTACTGCTGCAGCCCTACAAGACTCTCTCTATTTCCCACATAGAAAGGATGCAGACTTGCCACTTTCAGAGCTGGAAAAATCAATCATCATTGGACAGCAGAAGGCATTGGTGGCAGAAATTGATTCTCCTGTCAATCACAACCACTACTTCAAGAAAAAACAGCAGCAAATGCTCAAAGAAAAGGAACAAAAATTAAAGCAACTGCAACAGCAGCAGCAACAACAAAAACTACAACTACAACAAATACAACTTGGGCTAGTAGAACCAGAAGCAGAACCAGCAATGACATTGCCAATGCTACTGCGTGTACCTAACAAACCACATGAACATTCCAGAAAAACCAATGAAGAACTTGCAGCCACGTCGGAAAAAGAACGAAGGATTGCCAATACAAACCAAAGAAGAAACTTGAAAAAAAGTGAATCCGTTCGAATACGTCAGCAAAAAGAACAGCAGCAAAACCAACAGCAACAACAGCATACTAAGCACTCCTCACTGAGTCCTTTTGTGCTCTCCAGAAGCAGCAGTGAAGTCATTCGAACTGCCACAAACATGCACAACAACAACAACAACAACAACAACAACAACAACAACAGCACCAGCCACGACATGATGAGTTCCAGTGACCGGTACCTTGCGCCATCACCCCCGGGAGAGGAGTATGACACTATTGCACAAGACGGTCCAGTGCTGGACCTGCCAATGCTACATGCTCGCCGAAAACGACCTAGCATGGATGTGTCTCACTCGACCGACGAAAGCAGCAATGCTACACCCAAGCTTTCACACAACAATAGACCCAGACAACCCAAGACAACACATACTCGAGCTGGACGAAGATCCTCGGCTTCGGCGTCCACGTCCACGGGAAAAGACAGTCGAGGCAGCAGCCGCTGCAGTCATGATGATGCTCCAACGAAACGAAACACACAACAGCAACAACTGCCCAACAACAGCAGTCGGACGCTTCTAGTCTCCAACAAAAAGAAGAAACAACTGCCAACTACGAGTAGCAGCAGTGGTCGAAGTTTGACGGCGACCATGATGATGGAAGGATCGTCCAACAAGAGTCACTCTAGCAGTCGCAGTCTTCCCGCGAAAAAGCAAACGCAAAAGCAGCAACCACCCACTACCAGAAAGGTGCCCCTGCATCGACGTGGTTGTGGAGCGGATGCATTGCCCAAACAACCCGGTGTTGTGGCAACACAGTCGCAGCATGCTAGACAACAAATGGGGTCCAAGAGTGAACACGATAACACAGACACAACACCCACCACGTCACGACGAGCCTTGTTGACCAAAGTCAAGAGTGCCGGATGTATCTGCGGTAGTGCCAGTGCCAAGAGCATGGCACGGGAAGAAACGGAACGCGGTGATACCGAACGATGTGAGACAGAGCGGGAACAGACGGAACGAGGTGGAGATCATAATGATGATGATGTCGAGTACGTCTACCAGCATGACGACGACAACAATGATGACAACGACGTCCAAGAAGACGGCAATGATATGGTCGAGGAACAACAGCTAAGTCAAAGAGGACAAATGGTGGATTGCTCGGCCTCGGAGGCTCGAAGCACAAAAAGTACCAAGCGCAGAAACTTGGTACGAAGTCTCAGCCATACATTTGGCTTACGTCGTCGGGCGTCCACCACTGATTCTCGACCGATCCAGGATCATCATCAACAAGACGAAGAAGAGCAAACGCAGTCCGTGACAGCGTCATCCATGAGTCGTCGATCGCAACGACGTGCTCGAAGACGACGAAGTCAACTGGATCAGACCAGCAGCAAGAGCAAGCGACGAAGCCTCGTGCGATCCCTCAGCCGGACCTTCTCGTTCAAGTCGGTCTTTAGTCGAAGCAAGAAAGCAGACGTCGACTTCGAAGAGTCTCAACAGCGGCAGGATAAGGATATTGAGTTTGTTCCGGACTATGAAAATCATCAAGGCCATTGGATTGAAAAGGAACATTCCCTCCCCGCAAGCCCCTCCGAACTATATCGTCGGAGCAGTCGAAGAAACCCCGCGAGTTCATCGACCTCTACGGACGTGACTTCTGGCAGCATTGTCATTGATGTGGACGATATTAGCAGCTTGATGGAGCTGGAACGTCAACGAGTGAGCTTGAGGAAGATGGAAGCAGCCATGCTTCAAAACAGCACGAGTTCTGTTGGAACTGACAACAATCTGCCAAGGAAACGAAGAACCACTGAACGAGTGCCTTCAATCCCCCCTGTCACAGCATCCAGGCGTCAATCTCACGACGATGGACGCGCGCCCCCAAAGACGCGCCACACCGCTGTTCGCCACACTGCTGCTCGTCGGGACGGCCGACCCGGGCTTGTACCACAACGAGGGCGCTCTGTAAAGACGCTGGTCTCACGCCGAGACAAGAACGATCCCCGCCACCTCCTATTCCAGGATCCACCAAAAAGACGAGCCAAATCATTGGAAGTTTGGGAGCGGCGAGGTTCATTCTAGATGGATCATACATGTAGTGACTGTTAATTGCTAAGCTACATGTAATTATGTCGCCAACGATTGTTGCTGTTAAAAGCTGTGTTCCTAATTTTGTAGGATGGATTGCTAAAAGCCATTCGTCCGCAGTCGCTGCGCTGGTCTCTTTGTCTGTATAGCTAGCTGAAAACACAGAAGAGACTTTGGCGATGGAACCTATCGGTTACATGCTAGCTGCTTCTCTTGCGTTTTGTGCCACACCTTTCAAGGCCCTGGTTGCGCTGCGATCCACTGAGCCACCATCGCGTTCTGATATTTCTGGCAGGCGTACTTCTTCTTTTCGCTTGGTTGAAACGTTTCGTTCAACATTGGCCGCTTGTCATTCATCGTCAAGCTTGGCGACCCGGAGTGGTTCTTGTCTTTCAGCCATGTGTCAAACTTTGATCCAAATGCATCTTTTTCATGCTTCCTTGACTGTGGCTTGGTTGTGGCGTTTCCTTCTGTGATGATCAAGCCCAGCGCACCTGCTGATGTCGTTTTGTGCACTCTGGAGGAGGCCTTTCGTTGTGCTTTGTTGTCTTGGGTTTTTCTGTTTTCACTATTGAGTGATCGCACGGTGGGTTCCGCAGCTGAAGGTGAAATCAGCAGACCGAGAGCACCAGCGGAGCAGCTGGGACGTAGCACGTTGTTGCCTTTGGAGGCAGCAATAAATCTTCTCTCGGCTGGATTTCTTTGGATCTGTGATGCGTCCTGATCCTTGCCACTGTCCTCTGCGTCGTCCGAGTATTCTTTCTCGGTTTGATGCCGTGATACTGATAGTTTGCGCCTTCCACTTTTCCTTTTGTTGCAGTCGAATCCAGCGCTTGCAAGTTTCATTGTCCCCGTGGAAGTAGTGCGTTGCATTCCTGACTTGCCGTCACCGGGTTGGTGTAAGAGCATTTTGTGTATCCTTTCTCTTTCCGGTTTGCTAATCTTTGTCCTTGCCACAACTTTGTCGCTTCCCGAGTCTTGATAACGAGCACCATGGTTGTCCGTGTCGCTCGCTGAAAGGGATCGTTGTGTCTTCTCTTTGAATTGCTTTCTGTTTGTTGTACTTTTCATGACGGCTCCGGGTTGATCACCTCGTTCGGTTTTCTTCAAAGATACAAGCTCATGGACGGACTTCTTTGAGAAAGCTGACTTTCCAGTAGATGTCATGCCCAAGTGAGCGCCGGTTGAGAGGGACCTTTTCATGCCGAGAGGTGAAAACTCCATTGAGGATGCATCATCTAAGAGATCGATGTCGGACTCTTGCCCTGATTCGTCAGAAACAATGTTTGAAAGAAGACTTGGGAGATTGTTTGCGTTACGTCGTAGACCGTTGTTGGCAGCTGGTTGAGCGTGCCAAGCGGAGTTCTTCGTCGGCGTGGCCTGATTGTGATTGTCTTTGTTCAGGGACGACCGCTGCAAATAGGACCGACTCGAGTTTTTCCTTGCTCTGCCCAGGACACCACTGTACGAAGAGACCCTGCGTATACCGGTGGGACTTTTCTCCCTTTCACCGTCTCTCTTTCGAACGGGCATTCTTGCATTTTCCGTGTGCGTGTCCGAGTCATCCAGTGCACGGATCGTGGTAGGATGTCGAACGACACTTATTCCTGGTTTGTCCCCAACAATCTCGGCAGCAGCGACAACGCCATCATGCGTGGCAGCTCGACGGAACGGGGCGTTTGCTTCCTTGTATATCGGTTCGTTCAGCGAACGTCGTCTATTGCCGTCATTACCCGTGACATTGGCAACTGACAATGCATGTTGTATTCCTTCGTCCTGGATGTTGGAATCATCACGAGCAGCCAAAGTCAAGATTCCCGTAAATGTTGACGATCGCTTCGGAGAAGGGTCGGGGGAACATTTCTCGGTCTGTCCAGACGCTGGTTGCGCCGATCCATGTTTTTTCATGTCCTTGGTTCGAGACGATTTTTTGATCCTCTTCTTCCCTGACGTCGTCGACGACACGTGCGGTTTGTAAATGTTTGCAGCCCAGTCATGATCCGGTTGCGTCTTCTGGGATTGCAGTTTGTTTCCACTACGTCGTCGCGGAGGCTGACCGCCAGCAGTGTTGCTGATTTCGTCGTTTACCTTGTGCGCCGACTTGGTCCAATCATGATCTGGGACGGGGCTTTTCCGTCTGCCGCCCCGGATGGATCTATCGCCCCCGGACCGTGTGGATCTATCGCTCCCGGACCGTATGGAATCATGATCGGGGACGGGACTTTTCGTCTCCCGCAGCTCCGAATGGATCGATCGCTCCCGGACCGTCTCTTTTCGGACGCCAGTTCTCTCCGACGTCCAGAGTTGGCCCTCTTCAAAACTTGAGCGGACGAGATTTTGGGTCGTTTGCCAATACTGGAATTTGTCCCACTTGTAGTAGTAGACGATTCCAGTTCACGATTGTGATTTTCTGTTGGCTCCTCCTGATCAGATGGCGGAAGTGCTTGAATTCGGTTTTGGCCCGAAGAACCTCCACTCCTCCTTTGTTTCAAATTGTCGGTTTCATGATTTGGATATTCCTCGTGATGCTGATGGATTGTCGTGTCTGCTTCCGATGCAATCCTCGACCTCCTGACGGAAGAACTCCTTGACCTTTGTTGGAGCTGTCGTTGGAATCTTTCGTGATTGGAAGATGAGCGCCGTCTATTTGCTGCTTCTTGTTCATCTGACAAGCTCCTCCTAACGGACGAATTTCTCGAATCGGATAGGACTCTCCTGACCAAGGGTCGTTGTTGTCCCCTCCTGAAACCACTCCTGGTACTTCGACTGGAGTACGTGGATGCCTGATCGCCATCGTCGTCAACATCATTGTGACGATTTCTGGATTGTACGGATAGTCCTCTTCTTGAGTTTGCCCTCCGCCTCATGGAAACAACCGAAGCAGTATCTGTATCATCATCCTCATCATCATCATCGGAAAAGGATGATGTCACGAGGACCTTTTTATGCCTTCGTCCGGATCGTCTAGCGGAGGCTCTCGAGGATGCAATGGATCTTTTGGAGAGGACGGATGTAATGGATCCCAGGGAATGTCCGGATTGATCCGAATCCGAATCGTCGCTGTCGCTGTCGTTGTCACTGCTGTTGCTAGTGATACTGTCATTGTCATTTTCATTGTCATTGTGTTCATGAATTTCCCCATTTTGGTCAATAAGTTCCTGATCAACAATATTGAGTTTAGTGGAGCTCAAGGATCGTTTGCAGGGGTGTCTCAACAATTGTGAGCTCCCATCCGTGCTGTTTTGTGGTTGTTTATTGCTAGAGGCAAAAAAACCAGGGAGACTTTTGCTGGAGGAATTACTCCTTCTTTTGGTGCTGCTTGATGTCGCTCCTTGTGCGTTTTGAGGCTGTTGTTTGGAAAGAAAGAAATCCAACTTGGGTAGATTCTGATGGTTGTTTGCTGCAGTGGTTGTAACTTGTAAGGATGAATTTGTTTTGTGCCTGCCTTGCTGCTGCTGCTGATGGCCAATTGCTTCAGTGGCTTCACCACCTGTTGGACCTACTTGAAAACTGGTTGCTTCCATGGCATTGGCATTGACATTGGCATTGTCAGGTTGGAGTAATTGCAAATCATCCATATCCATGAGATCAGACAATCCCTTGACAAAAGGAAGCTCTTCTTCTGCTTCTTGTTGATTGACATTTTCACTTTCACTTTCACCTGCACTTTGACTACTAGAATCACTTGAATAGTCTTCTTGTTCTAGCTGAGCTTGAATGGTGAGACTTCTGCAAGAACCAGATTTCCTCATCCTCCCTGGAGACACTAGCAATCTGTCCCTGGCATGGCTGCTACCAGTACTAGTAGATCTTGAATGGCTGCTACCACCACCACCGCTGCTGTGTCTGCTGCTTTTCAAGAGCGACCTGCTGCCGCTGCTGCCTTGACGCTTCAAGCCATTCATCTTAAGTGCTTTCAAGTTCCTGTAAACCTGTACCTGTACCTGTATACCTATACCTATACCTATAGCTTTTGGCAGGTTAAGAGGAGCTTGTAAGGGATTAGCTAGCTAGAACTAGCCAGTAGGATATCAATGGATAAGCTTCAGCTTTCAAGAAGCTGAGCTAATGAAATGATGGACAGGATGGATACCTCTATGGCTACCACTTGGAGGTTGCTTGCTGATGGCAAGTGTGTTCAAAAGAAACAAGTGTGGTCAAAGCCGTTTTTGTCGGAGTTTTTGCAAAGTGGTTCCCCGCGCTGTTCTCCTGTTTCTCATTGGACAGCCAGTCTTTATTTGGGCCTTCTCATTTCTACTGTAGAAGAGAGACCCTCTAATAAGTCTCAGTTGGAAGATGATGTCGCGGAAGCCTGAAATCAAAGGGAAAGATTTCTCTTTTTAGTAGAAGGGGGATTTAATAAGTAAACATATCAAAAGGCTTACCCGTCCTCCGATTATATGCTGAGTAGGGACTTTGGATGGGGAATTGAATGATTGAAGATTCTGATCCAATCGACACAGAAGCACGTATTGGCTAGCTAGTACCGTACTTGCTTTACGGAACAGTGGCCACCGAGCGACCGTGGCTGACTTCCGTCTAAAGTACTATTGGGTAGTATGTCGTCCGGAACAGCAGCCCGTGTCAGGGGTCTCAGACCCTTTGCACCCCCAACCCCAACATCGGCAACTTGTATTCCACCGCATTACTAGAGCTAGTAGCTATGTAGATCTAGCTAGCTAGTACCACCACTCCAATTTGTGGCCCAACAGGACTCCCGCGGGAATTGTCCTCAACGCATGGCACGCGTTGAACAATGATTCGATTCGATTCTCGACTCGATTCATTCGATTCGATTCGATTCGATTGATCATTCGACTGATCATTCATCAATTTTAAAATTACCGTACTAGAGCTAGGGTCTACATAGTAGTACTGGATCGTGCCGCAACCGTCAGGATCCACGATTTCTAAAGGGTAGGATTTTCGAATCGGATTTAAAGCAGAGTTTGAAACTCTACCCTACTAACAGGGCAGAGTTTTGAAAGTCTGCCCTAAATCTTGGGCAGAGTTTGAAACTCCACCCTAAACTATGCACTCGGGGGGTGTCTGTGGTGCAGGGACCAATTTTGGAATATGGGGACCAATTTTGGAATGTGGGGACCAATTTTGGAATATGGGGACCAATTTTGGAATGGGGGGGGGGGCAACGTGCGTGGAACTCGGCTTTCTAAGGGAAGCTGTCGTGGTTGGAGCGTCCCTGCAACACAGTTTCCCAGCCAATCCATCAACAGCCACAGTCAGTTTGGTTATTACGGTATCAAGATTACTAGTACAGTGCTGCTCAGTCAAACCTCAAGAATACTAGTACCCCGAAACAGGAAACGCATTGGAAGGCCAAGTGCCGGAGGGACATTGGGCCAGCTAGGGTTCAGGACGCACAACTAGACTAACATGTGCGGAGAATTCATCTTGTCCATGCCTAGCTAGCTAGCCAGCTCCACTATTCCCACTGCTTTGACCTTGTCATTGAACTTCTAAAGCTGTACATTTGTTGTAAATTAATTTTCTGAAATCAAGCGGCAAAACAGCTATCGTGCTCTTTAACTGGCAAATCTTCGATAGTAGGACCAATCAGAGTGCACAACCGGTCAAACCAACAATCAGACCCATTGGTACCTCATTCAGGATGTTCCGCTTGTTCAGGAACTCTACTAGTCTTTGTTGGCGGGACAGAGGAATGGACCTTGTCCTTGGTGCACAACCATCAGTGGAGGAGATCCTGGCAGCATTGCAGTTGGCTTCATAGCTTCACTACTTTAGTGCCGATAGTCTTCCAGCTTGAGGTGGTTCAGGTTCCAGTTGTCTCGTCAAATCCAGCAATTTCATTGCTCCCAGCACTGCCCGCAGAGCAACGTTACAAGGGTTGCTTGAACTGCTTGCTGCTCTTGCAGGAACTCTGAGGCAGTATATCGCGAAAGGCTTGTCCAACAGAGTGCCGAATCTGGGTAATAACCGCATACCAGCGTTGCGTCTTGGGGTTGAACGTAACAAAACCAACTCCTTGCACACTTTGCTAGCGTACCTTTTGAATGACTTTGATGATCAACTTGGAATTGAAGGACCCGGTCGCCGTGGGAGCAGTGCATTCTCCCAACTCCTCTATGATCAGTTCTCGATACCGGTACCTTTGGTTGCCAAGATGGTTGTACACCTGACGGCCACGACCAATTGTCACTGTATGCTCGCATGGCCTGAAATCCTTGGGCAGTATCAGGGAACCGTTTTGAAACAGTAGTGAGGTCGTCAGAATTGGATTAGTTGTGGGCTTGTTGTCTGCCATGGTTCTTGATGGAAAATGGCTAAAATCTAGTACCACTTCCCAGACTGTTCAACCCTCACTTGGAATTTGTAGCAGGCCAGCACCCGCAAACAATGACTGTGGATGTACAAGTCCGGTCCCTACACCGTACAAGAACGCTCAGGTGTCACCACCAACGAAAAACTCTCTGCTCTTTAGTTTGCCGACCCGACTCGTCAACCGCGATCGAGGTCGAAGAACCTGCCAGAATTTTGGAAGTTTTCAACGCGTGCACAACGAACGTTTGCCTCCTGAGTGACATTCGTAACCGATGCGTGGTGGCTTGATTGTCCTCCCTGTGGATTTGTAGCACTCCCGATAGAAGCTGCACCAGCGGATTGATTGCTGAGCTGACTCGAGTGCTGAATGAGATGTCCCTCAGTACCCCGTTTTGACACATTCCCCAGTATCTCGTTGGCAGCATTTCGTGCAGCATCCGTCGGGACACACTGTCGGGATGAATGGCTCCTCCGTGCTGTTGCTGTCGTTGCTGTTTGCCAGGCAGTCGGCCTTGACTTTGGAGAGCTTCCTGTCACCTCTGAGTGCGCAAACTTCATCCGGTATAACACCAGAAATAGACGTCCCATCGATGTCAACCCTAACCAGCTCAGTCATCAATCCCAGTTCCGACGGAACTGTGCCAGACATTAGGGTATTGCCTGACAAGAGAATATAACTCAGCCGAGGTAGCTTTGCCATGTGGCTACTTATAGTTCCCGAATAGTTGTTTTGGCCTAAGATCAAAGCATTGATGTTCATGTTTGGGGAGTAAAGCTCTTCCGGTATCGTCCCCTGCAACCCTGCCCCCCATGTATCGAACTCCACTACCTTAGTCAAAAGGCCAATTTCGGATGGGAGGGTGCCGCCCATGTTTGTGTCCCCCATGAGAGTGATTACTTCCAAATTGGACAGCATACCCAGTGATGACGAAATAGTACCGGTTATCCCGTCGTTCAAACGAAGAAAAAGAAATACTATGCGAATGAACGAAAGTAGAAATGAGCTTCCAGCAGCCGACGCATTTCGCCACCAAACGCCACCTATCGTTGACTCACCCAAGTTGGTCAGCTGATAGATCTCCTCCGGTAGCGTGCCATTGATGCCCGTGCCCGATACCAGGAGATATCGGAGCGACTGGCTAAGGAGCCCGATCTCGGTTGGGATTTGTCCCCATTTTAGACGATTGAATTCCACGTTGACATACTCCAAACGAGATTGTTCTTCTTCTGCGCCGTCGTCGTCTTTTTGCTGTTGTGAATTAGTATGCGGTGGCGCCCACCATGTGATGGGTATTGCTCCCGTCAACTGGTTATTTTGAAGGTTCAAGTGGGTCAAGGAGTAAAAGCTCTCTGGCAGCGTGCCAGTCAAACCATTGTAGGTGACTGAGAGAGCCCGCAACTCTGGCACCAAACCCCACTCCCTCGCTTCTGGCAAGGTCCCCGTCAAGTTCATGTTGTCGAGTCTGATATCGGTGACAGCTTTCTCATGGCTAAGGGAGTCAGTCTTGCTGCGGTTGTTGGCGTCGTTGCAAAAAACTCCTGCCCATTGACATTCGTGGGATGGCGATAGCCAGCTGTTGGCGATGGTCTCTTCAAAGTCCTGTGGCCTGTGTGTGTAGTCAGGGATATATGTCCCATCTCCCACGTATTGCAAATAAAAGCACAAATGGCTTTCGTGGTTGCTTTGCGGTTCGTCCCCTTGCGGATCATTGCAGGAAGTCCAGGGCCATTGTTGCGTGGTGGCATGGTAGAAGTATGCCAAGAAGTACCGCTGGAGCAAGTGATTGGCATCTGGGGACAAGTGCATGGGATCGTGATGGACTATCCATTGGAGCGCCCTAGCTTGATCACTTCTGGATGAGAAGAGCTGGGACTGTTGGGTTTGATTGTAGCTGCTTCCGTACAATGCAGCGGCAATGCGATTCTTGATTGCAGTTTCTCGGCCTGCCGCAGGGTCCACGTGGCTGCTTTGTTTCCGATCTCGAACAGCTACGGCGACCGCCACCACGACCACCAATATTGCCAAAAGAAAGCCAATGACAATGAGGAATACTTTTGCTTCCTTGCTCATGCCGCGTGGGCATGGCTTGCAACCATCCTGTGATTGCTGTTGGACAGTGGAGCCACCAGAGGCAGAGGCTGAAGCTTCCATGATTTGTGCGACGGGCAAATGTGAACGTTCGTCTTCCTGCACCAGCGATGCTCGTACCAGCCCAGAGTCATCTGGAGATGGGTCTTGAGACGCCAATGTTGTTTGTGGAGCAGTTGCCTGGAGCCGTCGAGATTCTGATTGGGACGACGATGACATGGCTTGTGGAGCGTTGGAGGATCCTGCTTCGGCGTAGGCTCCTGGAATCTGAACTTGGGTTGGAGCATCCGAATCCGAATTGGTTAGAATATTACCTGATAAACCGTCGTCTCTGTTGCTGCTGGTGGTGGTGTCTGGTGGGCTTGCATCATCAACCTCTGGATTCTTGATCTTGTCCCTTTCTGTGGCACTGGAAGATGCACATGCGTCTGCACATTCTGTACCCACATCAAGAACATGCAAGTCCTCCAAGTTAGCAGGCACTTCATAGCTACCGGTACCTCCAAGCTTGTGTGGTCTCTGTGAGGTGCAAGTATGTATACGGGCTCCTGTACCATCAGGACTATGCATAAGTGGTCCATCAGGACTGCTTGGTGTGTCTTTGAGTGTAGTACTGGTACCACCAGTTCCACTGGCTCTTCTATACACTGTAGGTTCATCAGCAATGATCTTTTTGGCAATTCTATCTTGGAGTGCCTCCAACTCTGCTGGCTCTCCTGAGTGTTTTGTAATTGCCCTTATGCTGCTATTGATAACCAAGCTGTTGGTGGTTGGAAGAGGCAGAGGTGCATGACTTGCAATTGGAGTAAGGCCAGAGGTAGTGGCTGTGCCAGCACTCGTACCGGTACCAGTTGGAAAACTCATTACACTGTCCGCAGCATCCTCTGCTAGCAACTCTACTGGAACGTTCGGGTACAAATGGTGATTATGGTACATTTCCGCAAGTGACGTCAGCGAAGAGATTCCCGAGCGGCCCGCGATAGAGGCATTCTCGTTGGCGTCGACCAAGTGAGGAGGAAACGCGACAGTAGCAACAGGAGGACTTGAAGGCTTTGTAGTGCTGGTGACGACTGCGTCTTGATCATCATCGTGCTCTTGATCTACTGGTGCGGCAGCATCATCATTGTCGCTCTTCAGCATATTTCTCGATTGATATCGATCGCTGCTTTACCTTTGCCATAAACATTAATTAAAGGAGTACTAGTAGTGCTTTCAGTACAGGGTGTACAAGAATTAGATTCAAATGACTTTGTCAGAGTAAAAACGATATCAGGACTTAAACGTAGACCCCCCAACCCCTATATTGGGAGATTCGTCTTTAAATAATCTACCTCAACACGTTCTCCGATTTTTGATATTCAGTCTGGGTGAAGATTTATGGCCTTTTGAAATAGTAGCTTTCAACTATAGTAAAATATAGTACATTTACTTATGTGACACAACTTGAACCCCTAAATAACTGTGTACTCCTCGCCAAAACAGTCCTTCTTACGACGTTTGTTAATGCTTTTAACTAAAGAATGGTGTAAAAAGAACACTTGCATCTTGTTCTCCATACTCGAAAACTTAGGGCAGCGTTCACTCAGCTTGTTATCGGCCGACTCCGGTATGACCTTTGATAGCCAAATACTGAACACCCTGTATGATAGTTTGTGAATGAATCTTCAATTATTAATACTGTAAAATGAGAAGCTTTCCTTCGTCGCTAGCTACTACAAAGTGTAGTAGTGTTCGCATTGTCATTTGGCAGGTACGGTACCGTGGGGCTTCTTGGAAAAGCCGATTGGGTTGCTGAAAGGCCGAAAAGCAGCAGACAGTTTTAGCGGGGTAGGTTAGGTAATTGTAGGGTTAAAGTCAGTGTATACATGTAGTCTACTTACCATTATTTTTGTTTAACGAAATATATTTACCGCAACTAACGGTGACCCGGCGAGGTTTCGGTGAAGGGCCTGGAAACTTACTTTCTCCGGAGTGTTCTTTTCTTTCTTCAAGTTGATTTTCTCCGAATCGTCACCGACACAACCACATACCCGAAGCTGGAGCTATGAATACCTGTAGCAGCTCCCCATCCATGCCAAGAGTCAGCTACCTGAAAGGATCTTTTGAAGTGTTGCTCATTGTATGAGCTCTCTATGGAACATGCATTTTCTGAAATACATTACTGGTTCAGAGTACAGACAGTACCTAGCTAGTAGTAAAGCAAAGCAACTGAGGAGCTTGCACGTTGCAGATGGGACTTGTGCGCGGAACATGACTAAGTCTTGTGCCTTGAACAATTGAGTGATCAGAGGCTGCTAAGGTGTATTCGTCATTCTTAACGTTCTCGAAATGAATCAGCTTGCTCCGTTCCTGCAGTCGTGCTGTGGTTCCGGACAGCAGTGATGATCACGACATCACGGCACGTCCCTCCACAAGCAAGGGTTCTTGAGTTGCGATGGAGACGTTACCTGCCCTTGATCTCGCGATCAAATAGTGCCCGTGCCCGTTGTTGCAATTGTTTCCCCCCTCCGAGTGAGCGACTTCTCCCTGTTTCAGCATCTGCCACTAATTCGACGCTACTACATGTATCATAACTCGATCAGCGCCTTGACTCGACTCGAGTTTTGCTTTTTGTAAACCGGAGATCGATCTCATTGTTGACACAGTACGGCGAGTAGATGACGACACGAGTGTAGTAGTAGGTCGAGTAGTTTTGGTCGGATCAATCCGGTTCAATTGAAGAGCGATGTGGTATGCTGGGTGCGGGAGTCAAAGTATGTCGCTTCCATATATGCAGGCTGGTCAAGCCCCATGGGACACTAGCTAGCTTCCCCCATTGCTATTAGCTACTGTGGCCGCTGAGCATCCATCATTCCCTGTAGGAGAAAGGAAGCTACATGATTATCACGTTCGGATTGTCATTGTGATTGCACGACCACCAACTT